CTGCAGTGAAAGGGAAAAAAAGTCATTTGCAGTGACTCGTCAAGTCTTATCCTACTGAATACTTCATTTAACTTCTTTCAAAACTGTATTTTCCCTTTGCAGATGAGCGAGTTTCTTCACCTGGCTTAAAGAAGGAACCTCCTGCAATATTAATGCAGTGTTACATTTTGGAACCAGACCCACCCAAGATTTTCCAATGCGTGAGGATAAATTAAATACAACGCTTTCAGAGAACTGGGTGCTCATGGGATGCAGAGCAAACGCAACACACGCACCTATTGATTGGCAACCTCTTGCAGAATATCACATGAGGTGTTGCTGTACCAGACCATCCCATCAGAACCATAAGCTGTGATGGGTCTCTGCTGTGTCACCATGCAAGCCCTGATAAAATATGACTCCTCTAGATCAGATCACTTTATTGGCCATATACAATTTCTTGTATTAGGAATTTGTCTTTTTGCATGCTCTCAATGAGACACACAGGTACACAGACAGGGAGAGAGAAGCTCGGGGTCAGAACGCAGGGTCAGCCATTTATACGGTGACCCGGGAGCAGTTGGGCTTAAGGGCCTTGCTCAGGGACCCAACGGAGTAGGATTCCTCTGCTGCCTGCTGGACTCGAACCGGCAACCTTCCAGCCACAGGCGCAGATTCTTAGCCACAGGGCTACCGCTCCGTGCTAAGAATCTGTGCTGGTAAGGACAATTCACACAGCAGGGTAGTACCAGGGTTGGTAGTGCCAATCAGGTCAATAAACACACAGTGCTCAGAATCTGCCAATGTCATTATTACTGTATCTGGTTGAAGCTTTTATCCAAAGCAACTCATTTTTCTACTTTTACTTAGAGTATATTTGGGTATTAAACTGGAGAGATCTGAGTGAAGTGCCCAAGAGCAGTGCCCCAGTGGAATTTGAGAGCACTTGACGGTTGTCTGTCATGTCTGATGTTGGCGGTGCTCCAAAAACAGATGAGCTGCACGAAGAAACCTGTGCGGAAGAGCTTCTTGAAGTGGGAAAGCCGTTGCACTGGGGCAGTCCCACTCTCTCGCCCTCAGAAGCCTGGGTCCAGCGGTACGAGTAGTCGTCACGACTGGAGACTTCCTTGGTTGCAGTGGATGGCCATGACGCCTTTCTGTGCCTTGTCATGCCCTTCGCTTTCCACGGAGCGTTGCACCAATATAGTGTCCTTTCACTATACTGGGACATTAGGACCCACACAGGGTGAGCGCCCCCTGCTGGCCCCACTAACACCTCTTCCAGCAGCAACCTTAGTTTTCCCCAGGAGGTCTCTCAACCAGGTACTGACCAGGCTCACACTTGCTTAGCTGCAGCGTGTTGCCAGTTGTGAGCTGGAGGCCTTGAGAGCACCACCAATGGCACTAACCAATGAGCCACACCGCTGCCCATTTGCAACCACCACTTGCAGGCTGCAGCTACTGACAGTGCCAGTCTGTTGTGGCTGTACTTGCACCAGACAAATAAAAGGAATGGGCTAACAGAGTATGCCTTATAAATGCAGGATCTGAAAGTTCAGCACTGCTCATGGGCACATGATTGTTTCGAAAAAACCCTTTTTGTAGTACAAAAATGTAAATTGTTGCGGATAACAAGCACAAAAGTGCCTGGTGTCCACAGGAAAGCATGATGGAAAACCGACTGAGCTTTTGACCTTTTTATGAGATCATGTGCTGTCACACATTCCCAGTAGTTGACTTAATACCCATGAGGCAGACATGGATAAAGCCTTTGTATGACTGACAATGGCTAGAGACTCCCATTTCTGATCAGTGGTGAAAAAATAAATTAACATGCTACTTGCAATTAGCATTGCACTTCCAAAACGTCTTAATTCCTCATAATAATTCCTATTAATTTCTTAATGAAATAGGTAGGCAAAGTAATTTTTTGGGCTTTGTGAGAAGAGCTGTGTTAGCATGCATTAGCTGCTAAGGAAGAAAGGTTAATTCCACATTGGAAAGGAGACAGAAGAAGCACGTTTCAGCTGCTGAGCCTTATTCTTTAGGTGTGATTTTTTTTTAATACACATTCACATTAACATACTACTCTATATGCATTTTACCCTTTACACATAAAAAATGCATAAAATGGTCAATTCTCAATTGCAAACTTTCTTGTGTTCATGTACTGTATATGTACAATGTCACCTCTTTTTTGTCTACATACCCTTAACTGGCAGAGGCTACTCCACACTGCAGTGCTTTAACATTTGTTGAGGTTTCTCTTAATGACATGAAGGCATTTCACAGACAGAAAACACAGCCTTTAACACAAAACATATTTTACCATCAAGAAGGCACTCTGCAGCCACTGTACACGCAATACAGAGGGGCAAAACTAAATTTACTGTCACCTAGCTTCCACAATTATACACTTAAATCTTCAGAGAACAGAACTACAGTATGTTCATTATGTCTTTAACAAATGACTGTGGTAGAATAAAGGCTTTAAAGTCCTTTCAGAACAGTCTTAAAAAGACAGTAACTTTCCTTGGAGAAAGAAATGACTTGCTTTTCACTTCTTTGAAACACTGCTGCACACTCTTACAGCCTCTAATGAAAGTGTTTTTCTCAGTATTCTAGTATGCCAGCAGACGGTTTATCCTTTTGCTCAACAACCCAATATAGAGTACTTCAGCAGAATTATTTCCATTACACAGTCAAGCAAGGACATACGGTACAAATCTACTGTACACCCAAGCAAGGTAGACTAATATGCATACTGTTAAATCTACAATCTCTGATAAATTAAACTAAATTAAATTTTAGTGCCACAACTGTTGAAATGAAATTCATCACTTGTTGTGAAAAGGGGGGAGGCTTTTGTGTGTGTTGCTTTCTCCCCCACATTGTTAACATGGCACTGACCTCTCTCTAGCTCATAGCCAATCTTAAAGAAATAAACCGGATTGATGAGGTCAAATAAAGCAGAGAAATAAAATAATTTTAACGAGGAGCTGCCAATTAAGAAAAGTCATTGCATACCATATTGTATAAGTGTCTTCATGCATAGAGCATATACTTCTCTTTCCTAAGGTGCTGGATTTTCTCCTAAAAAATAGGCTAAAAGGACTAGCAAGCCTGAATGCAAACAGCAGATTCCAGACTCCTCATGTTTAAAACAGCCCTTCTGCAGCTTGCTGTTTTGCAGAGTTATTGATTTGTTCCCTCAGCAGACAGCCACATTGGGCTTAACAGCAACCCTGCACTCTCAAGTGCTGCTGGCTTGTCCTCATGTGCCTTCTGCTATAGTGTAAATGCTGAAATATAGAATGTAGATACAAGAACTTTCCACCTGAAACTGAATGCATCTGGTGAAGGGGACGTATTTGCAGCTCAGCCAGTATACAGCATGTAGAATTCAAATCGATTAGTCACACAAAATAAAGGTGGAATCCAGCAGTACCAGATTTAATAAACAGCTCAATGAGGGTGCACTATGTTTGGGCGGGAGACTCTGTGGAAGCAAATTATGACAATTTTCTTGGTACAGAACACATTTGCACTCTGTGTTAGCACACATTTCTCTCATTCAGGCGAGACCTATTTCTGTTTGATCTTTAAAACAAAACAATCTGAATCTTCAGGTCTTGAGAATCTCCTCGCACCAGGATCTCTAACCTTTGTCAATTATGTAGAAACAGCGACCACTGGTGGTTGCCACTTGGAATTGCAAAGACAGACATGGGCAAACAGAAAACTGAGCCAGAAGAATGTGCTCATGCTGTGTATGACCTTAGTTTAAAATAAAGTTTTAAGACACAAAATAGCACTGTAAATACAATTAACATTGAGCTTTAGGTCTGACTTTGATTACTAGTAATGAAATGGAATGATAAATTAGAACTAGAAGACTGTCTATAGCAATCAGATTTAAAAAAGGTCTTGTTTAACTTTTTAGTTCTGTATGATACAAACAGCAAATAAACTGTATATTTTTTTAGATTTTCACAAGATGTTTGATAAAGTTCCTAATAAAACATTAATCCTGAAATTGCAGGTGCTAAGCATTCAAGGAAATGTTTTGACATGTTTGGATGGAGCACTGACTACTGCTACAGAAAAAAGAGAAGTGGTAAACACTGTAATTAGGGTGATGAAACCAGCTGAGTACCACAGGGATCTGTGCTAGTCACGTTCACAAATTATACCATAATGGGAAGATTTGTGAACACTGTAAAAACACCAAAGGAAATTCTTGAATGTTCAAGATAAAGACTTCAGAGGTCTTGGCTACTGATTGACAGATAAGACAGGTGCAGTGTGTTACTTGCAGGTAGAAGAAAAACTACAAATATAAAAATTGAAAATATTAAGCAAATACTGTATATAGAAACTGAATCACAAAGTGGCTGCAAATACTGTACTCCCTCTACCAATCTAAAGCACATTAGTACACAAACTAAGCTACTGTATGTTTGCACTTACAGAATGGCTACAAGACAGTTCATTCTGAGTCCCTCTTGTCTGAGGTCATTCTTGTCCCTTTTTAAAAGTCGATAATTTTCTTAGACCTGTTACTCTGCTGAGGGGTGTTTTCCTAACACCTGCCCTGACATGTCCCAAGAGCCAGTCGGTTTAGATTTTTTTCAGCACAGAAATGTCTCCGAATCCCCCCCCCAATAGCAACCCATAAAGCAAAGGGAAAGTTTTCCTCATGGGCTTGTCATAGATTTAGTCACACAATAGACCACAGATTCATCCCCCAGGGGTGAATAAAGTATTCTGAACTGAACTGAAATTGAACTACAGACAGAATGAAACCAAACTATACTTACTATATAGGAAGAGAGGTATACAGACATACTGGTGTATACATTATAGATATACTGTATAAACAAAAACATTTGTGGAGATCTTTATGCATCGCTAAAGTCAACCACTTAATATGATATTGTTCTCTTTTTCAAAATCTCAAGCATCCAAAAGCATTCCCCCTGTATTCACCACAGTACATCAAGCACTGTTTCAGAGCTTACCGGCTCTTCCAGGGTTTCCTTCTTGTCTAGCATTTCCTGCAGGGTTTGCAGAATCTTGATGCAGAGTTTTTCCTCTTTGTCCATCAGTTTCTTGGTGTGGTTGATCAGCCTTCCAAAGGAAAAAAAACCATCAAGTGCAGCCAATGACACCTTCCACCGTGCAATTATCAGGACTGCAATAAACATCTGTTTACTGCACTGACCATGCAGTCCATGGCTTCAACTTGCTGTTTTGCACACAAAACAAGACATGTGTACTGTACATCCACGTATTACACCTTCTGCTCTATAAATGGACAAGGAGAAAGAGAGCAGCTCTACATATTTAGCATGTGTATCACTTTTAGTAACCTGTTGGACACAAATAGAACAACAAATATTGTTATTGTTGTTAATCAATGCCACTCCAAACTACATTTGAAATCAGAAACAGTATAAATCAGTACAATTCATTGCTGGCGACCAAAGAAATAATGATAGAACTTGCATTTGGTTCAGAAGGTGTATGGATGAAGTAGCAAACACTAAGACTGTAGCAGAATGAAACATCTTTGGTTAATGACAAATCTGTATTTATATGTACTCAATTTAATGTCTTTACAAAGCAATACTACATTAAACATCCCCACAGCTTTCTAAAATGTTACACAAGCTTTTGAAATGCATGACTAATGTACTTCTACTGAAAGTCGGTAGACCAGCTGAGGAGGCTACATGCTGTGTAATATTTCTGTATGCAAGACGTACTGTACTGTACAGCTGTTTTAACTTACTTAGACATGAAGGCCCCACTTTCACAGCGTATTCTCGCTTCTTCTGGAAACAAGCGCTCTGGGCTGTGCAGGACATCAACTAGCACAGAGAATTCAGCCTGCACCATTGGCTGGAACTGTTTCTCGAGAAATGCTACCACACCCTGGAAATCGGAAGACCAAGGCACCGCATTCAATACAGAACTTTCACTGAAGGGCTACAGTCTTTACCCGCCTTCAAATGACACAAAAACATTCAACTTGCTTAACCTACAGGCGACACTGAAAACAATAAAAGTCATTAACAATAAAAGTCTAAATCTGAGAGGCTAGCAGAACAAGCTTTCCTGAAAATCTTTAATAATAAAAATAATAAAATATTAGTAGCTGATGAGAGGAGGCCATTTGACCCATCTAGCCTGTTTGGTACCTGAAACGCCACAGAAAGTACACGAGACATGGAGCTTCCACCAACACAAGCCATAATATAAAGAAATACTTTCATTTCACAGCGTAAATACTTCAAGCAAGCTAGTGCCAGTAACTTCAAATATGTAGGAAAGCCGATACATTTCAGAGCATACATTTGACACCAGCTGCTCAACCCAGGCGTGCCTGTCCACTGAAGCTGGCTGTGGACACCTGAGAACACCTCCAGCACGTGGTGGTGAAGTTCCTTTGCTGCACGGACACAAACACAAGTCTGCCTTACTGAGATACTTGTATACTGTATCAAAGGGCACTGCTGCCACCTCTCTCCCAGCAGATCAATCCCAGCTCTGGCTGGGGATATCCTCTCGTCCTGTCCTGCTGTTGCGCCTCTACCCCTGCCTCCTGGGTTCGGCGGCTCACCTGCAGTTTTTCGATGATGTTCTTGTAGTCGGGGCCCCCGAGAGGCTCCCTGCGGGGCCCACTGCGAGCAGACATCCTCCAGCCCTTGGCCGCGCGCTGCACCATGTTTGAGTGGGTTTTCATGAAAAGGGTGTTCACCTGACTGTCCAGGTCGACCGGGATAGCGATCGCCCGATTCTTGGCTAGAGCGGACAGCCAAAATAAAAACAAACAATAAGACTCTAAACAAACTAGACAAAATGATTTGATACATAAATACATAAATCTCAGCTTCACCGTTTTGTACACTGGAGGCAGATGGATACAGTGTATGGGCAAGAGATCTACTACTTTATTAAATGCAATGAATTTCAGGTTATATACAACTTTCCTGTCAGTCTGATCAAACCTTTTTTGTTTAATAAAAGAAATGCAATACTTGGGTCTAATGGTTTTAATCAAATATGTTAAACATGGAGATCAATCAAAACCATAGACATGGTGAGCAATAATACAGTACAAGGAATCAGGATGAGGTTTCAGTATGAAATGTGACACACTGACTCATGAAGATTGCATTAAAAGCTGGCATCCGGTACAGTATGACCTCGATAACTTGAGCTTTAACAATTGTGGCAGCTGTAGACTGGCTGGTAATAGTTATCTTCTGCTCATGACATTGGCAGCTGGTCCCACTGATGGTCTCTTGCACTCAGGTGGAAAGAAAATGCTGATTATAATAAGATCATGATGCGGGTTTCCTGAAGCTGTGCCACTGTAGTCCTGGCACTACATGGTCTCACTCAAGGGCTTCATCAAAGCATCATTGAGCAGCAAGGTTACAAGAAAGTCTTCAGTGAGTGCATTAAAGACTATGCCTTGTCACAACACAAATCTACAGTACTACCCCGGCAGCTGGCTTGAATTAAGCAACAGGCATCAAAAAGCTAACTCCACCATATCCACATGGTGTAATCTCCCAACAGAGTTGTCAAGTGAAAAACAGCATTTAACACTCTTCCACTCTCTCTACCACTACCTCAGATGCTCTCTGGTCCACGGAAGTTTTTTAAATCATCACTCAGCTGTCAAAACTACTCTTGAGCAAAATGTTAATTTCATTATCTGAAATGATTCCTTTTTAGAACCTCTATTAAACAGGCACTTCAAATCAACTCATTTTGGCAATTTTAATAACTCAATACCAAAGGCTGAGCACCTGTTGCATCTTTTAAATAACGTCACAAACTCAGTAGTAGGTTATTTCAAGGAACAAACCTATCATCTCAGTTCTAAAAGTGCAAATACCTGTATACAGTATGTGTGCAATGAGCTACTGACACAAAGATCCACACAATGGAGACCCCTGCTTTTTCATTGTGATCTGCAGATTGTTTTCAATGCACTCACAAGGTATAATTTGCAGGAACGTTTTGGGTTATTCTCCCCTTTCATAGATATTAGATGCTAAAATTGATTTATAAGAATTCTGCAGTAAAACCATTTTTATAACTTTTTTCCCCATCTCGCTACACTGTAGCCCCAGTCCTGTGAAGCATCATGAATGAACTCATGGGTCCTCACTGCTCCTCTTCTCATCTCTGCAGAACATGCAAATCATTTGCTTTATTTGAAACTGAAAGAAAGGCGAAAATTGCAACATAGCAAGAAACTATACTAGCTTACATATGGATTTTTCTTTCAAATTTTAACTACAGTTAACATTAAGAAATGGATAAAGGGAAGCAAATTGTGAGACTGTGCAAATATAGAAGACTGGCTTTAGTATTTGCAAAAATATGAAATGCCTGCACCCTGCTGTATTTGACCGTTTATGCTTCGTTCCTTTTCAGTGTGAAGGCAAAGATTTAAAACAATTCTCCTATGTTATCCTGTTACCTACCTACGTCAGCCAAGGTTTTAATGCACGCTTCTATATTGGATTTCTGAGAGGAATTTATCCACGAGCAGTTGTAAATCCTAAAAGCAGACTGCAGCAGCTTATTGAATACAGGCTGGTGACTCTGCAACGACAGGAGCAACAAGGCACGTTACTAACTGCAGTGATGTGAGCAGCCTGAGGAACTGAGCTGCTTGATGAATTCTTCCGACCTGCTGTTTCTCCAAATCAGGCATTAACATGGTCTTCTAAAAAGAGAAAAAACAAGCTCGTCTAGGGAGGTTGTTTTCAAGGTGCCTCAGAGATTCAACTCCGATCAGCATTTCAGTTGCAGAACTAGTTTTGATTTGTTTTCTGTGTTTCTGTTGCTATGATATCAATCCCCACTAGAGCAGCATAGAAAAAACATGTGTTCTAAAGCTAAATTACAGAGACATGAAAATTTCGATAATTTGTACAAGTGTTTTCCCTAAAACTGAAATAAACAAGCATGAACCGTCTCTTTGATGTTATCCATCCACGTATCTTAGGGATAGTTGTTTAATATAGACAAGGTGAGATTGTAAATTCCCATAATACCTGCTGGCCTAGAAAAAGATAGGGCCATATAGGTGGCTGGCCTGTATTTCGTTACTGTCAGTGCCCCATTAATTCTGCACTATGATTCCCACAATGCACTCATCCCACTACAGTGGAAAATGAGGTATAACACTAGCAAGACAAGAGAATCAGACACTTCTATGCGGAGGCCGAACAGTTACAGTACCTGCAGGTTCGAGTTGTTGACAGAAAACTGAGAGCTGAAGAAACCTTTGACAATTGCCATCACTGTTTCAGTCACATACTTCTCCAGCGCCATGTCTGCATGCTTCCTATCAGTAGGGCTGTTACAGACCTGAAAAAGTCATTAAATGCAATCAAGAACTGCATACTCCACTTTAAGACCCAAGGAATTGTTAATATAAGGTTAATACTTCAAGGTCACTTCTAAATTAAAGCGTTCTTGAAATGGAGAAAATGAAACACTTTTTCATCAAAAAGTTTCTATTTTCATGACACTGTATACTGATGAACAGTAACTGAAGTGTTCATCTGACCAATCAGTATATACTACAATTAAAAACATGCCTTTTACACTATACTATAACTGTGTTCCAAAAATCTCAGAATAAATTAGAACACCTAGACTTGAGCCTTCTTTATGTAACCAAAGTGGGGTTGAAATCGCCACCATTGTTTCTGCATCTTTGAAGTACGTATGCTTTTTCTTTGCCTTTTCCATTTAAATCTGCCCTTTATTTAAACTATTCTATTTAAGTTTAAAACCTTCTACAGTGTAATTTTCGTCAGTCTGGTTTACCTCGACTACAGCACCCTAACTCCACTGCCAAGCAAAGCCAAGCCTACCCACTCGTCCAGGGATCACTATCATCTATTTCATGAGGAGCCAGAGGCAGGTTGCTATGGGCTCTCATTCTGCCTGCACCAGTGTCAGCAATCAGTCTTCCTATGACACAATACCTTGCTGGCAGTTCTCTTTAACAATGACTTTAAGCACTTACACAAAGTTGCATCAGTCCATTTTCTAAATGTCCATCAAAATATTTCCATGCCAGCACTTTAATTCTTCCTCTTGTCTGATGTCTTACAGACCTGTTCCTTTCACGATTATGCTAGGACATCTGTCTGGATTGTTTTATTTCTATGTGAGGGGAGAATATCACTATGCCCTCAACATACTATAGATACACTGCATGTTGATCCTCAAGGCCTTAAACATTGAAGAAAATTAATAATGAATGAAAGATAAAATGACAAGGGCCTGACAAGAACTTACCCTGGACATATCAATGAGAAAATTCTCAAAAAGATTCCAGATGTGGTTACTGGTATATATCTCCTTCATTTCTACTTCTGTGTCCACATAACAGTGGTTCACAAAATTGACATAGGCAGCCTTTACCTGAAAAAAAAACAACAACATAAGAGAGGTTCTTACTGGTCATGAAGCAGTATTAAACGGATTTAGTATTACATGGGAACATAGTCATATTAAAGACAAGAACTTCATTATTAAAGCACTCAGAGAAAAGAAGCAAGACACAGCTTAACAGAAACTCAAACTTTCTTTTTCTTTACTGTCCTAATTTCTGAACATTAATAAAAGTATTCTTATGATAATTAGTCAGAAAGAAATCCCATTGCCCCAGGAATGTAGACTAAAAATCAAACTAATTTGCATCTCAGTCAAGCATCCACAATTTTAAGCAGAGCATCCTTTTGTTTTAGGTGAGCACAGAGCACATTCTGCACAGTACACCTAACTCACGGGGGGGGAGAGACAGACCTGCAGACTCAGAAACACGGATATGTGAAGAGTCACATTCCGAGACTCATGCCGCACGCTGTTACCTCAGGAATGCAGTCATCGTGGGTCACTACTTTAACGATGTCGTCGAGGGGAAGCAGGGAGTTGCATTTGAGCTCCGTGTAGACATTCTTGCCCTCGGTACAGAGGGCCAGCAGCTCCACCAGCGTGTTGTGATAAGCGAGAGGCCCGTTCTCGTCGTTGCGGTCCCGCTCCGAGCACATCATCTGCAGCAGCGTCGGGAAGGAGGTGCGGTCATTGTAGAACACCAGCACGTCTTCCCCGCCGTTGACGAGCTGGAAAGAGACAGGGAGCGCAGTGCGGGTGAATTTGAGGGATTTCTTCCACAGCTTTTCTTGAAGAGCTTAAGAGGGGAAAAATCAGCCTATAGGGAAAGGAGAAAATGTAAAATTCGGACTCTGGCCGGGGGTCATGACTCCTGACCTGGGATGAGTGCATTTAAAACAGACACTTGCTGTGTGCGTATCAAGTCAGAAGTAACTGTTGTATGTGACTTCAGATATTGAAAGGTGGGGATAATATTATCAGGAATACCCACTGTGCCATAAGTGGAAATAGTTCTATGATGCCAGTATGCACATGGTAATGGTCACTCATAAATCCCTCTTCAGGGTAATAACCTAGGGTGACCATGGCTGTACATAAAACTCTCTGTAACTATGCTGGAATTCAGGACACTGTGGGAAATACACCTTGTGTGCGTCTCCTTCAGTGTTCTCCAGAAATGGCAATTTTTGTCACAAACTAAAACTCATCTCAGACCTTCACTGAACTGTACTTTGACCCCTTGCATTGCTACATATTGCCACTATGAGCAGGATACATCTGCCTTATGCTGGTTTCTTGTCTTGATTCCTCTCTCCCATGGAGGCTAAGTCAACATTTTTGTTACACATAACATACTACCCACTCATAGGCTGGAGTTAATGCTGGGAGGGAACTGCTGAGGTGTATCTTATGTATAAGAACCACAGAGATCATGTCACCACGTAATTTCATTGAGGAGAAACAAGGCTTTAAGACCATCCTTGAAAAAAAAAAATAACAGGCTGTAAAGACCATCTCTTGGAATAGAGGAAGCACTACAGTTTACAAAACATTAAAGCATCTGACTTCAGTACTTCGGTTAAAACACTTATCTTACCTCAGTCATGACCTTGTCCTGGCATTTCTTTACATACTTCCCATCAGCTTTTACAATGGTCTGCAGGAAGCGCAGGTACTTCACCTGGCGGCCATGGGTCTCTATGCAGTGCACAAAGTGATGGACCACCCTGTCACTGATTTCATTGCACAGGTGATAATTGTTCATGAAGATGTGCCGCATGGTTTCAGCCTCCAGCAGCTGTGAAGCGAGAAAGGGATCCACAATATTGTGACATAAAGACAAAGCTGGGAATCTGTTTTATTTTTAGCAATTCCACGTAGTGGTGACCTTTTCAGCACCTGCTGCACCATTTGAACCAGATATTTTTAAGATGTGATGCACATGCCTTGTCATGATGGCTAAATCCTTTCAATTCTCAACCTCAAACTTTAAATAGAAATGCGCCAGAGACACTACAATGTCCATTTGTTCTGAAAGATGTGAAAATGATGCACGTACCCCAGGGGTGAGGAAGAGATTGAGGTGTTTATGTAGCAGGACTTGGTTCTGGGGATTACCGCGGCAGAAGTTTTGGAGAAACACATGGGCCAAATTCATTATTTCATTCATCTTTTCGTCAGTCTGGAACAAAAAAAGGTTCAGGAACATGTTCTTAAAAAGAGTTCACATTGCACATGTTTACATTTACCCAACATCCTTTTGATTTCAATAAGTGCAGAGAAATCTTCCATCATCTTTGTGACGACAAGAGAATTCAAGTACAGGCTTTCCCAGATACTCATATAACAAACTACAAGAAATAAATAACCTCTTTACAGTCATACACATGTCACACTTAACCAAAACCAACACACAGTACACCCTAGTTCACTGCTAGTAATATTCACTCCTGGTCCTGGAAGACAGTCTATCAGGTAATTATTATATGTAAGTTCTAAACCTCAATGGACAAATAACTTTTAAGGTACTTTTTAAGTGAACAACAGATTAAAATTAAGTCAAAGTCCCAGGTGAAATAAAAATCAGGAGACACGAAGGTTCCCCAGGACCAGTTGTGAATATCAGTGCCCTAGTTACAGTATAAGCATGGACTTGAAAAAACACAATGTATTTCTCTACAATGAAATGCGCTTGTGAAAAAATGACAACTGAGCACAAGAATGAAGCCTTCAGTAACACAGCATTAGCAGGCAAAAGAGCAAAAAGGCATTTGTGTTTTTCCAGCTGTAACATTTTTGCAGTCTGTGGCAGCCTTGGAATCCCACAGTCATATGTGGGTAACATGGCCAGAGAGCTGGCTATCTCGCGCCACTTGATTGGCTGTTGAGAATTTACGGTACGCATGCCTCACTCTCATTGGTTAGGCAAGCAGTTCATTAGCTGCTCAGTGGGTAGGCTCCAGCCTTAACAGGGTCTGCGGTACAACCCCAGTGAGTTAATTATCAGGAGTCAGATTTTGTGAGGAAATATATTTTTTTATTTTTTACAACAGTTCGAGGAATATCTTTTCAAAGGTATTTTCTCTCTTTGTCCTACACAGTTTATACTCTGCTTATAAAGCTACAGTCCCCATTAGTGCAAATTCAAGAAATTGTCACCTTTTCATATGGTATCTGTAGGAGGTCCAGGACTACTGTGTGGGCACTCATATTCTTCAGCAGTCTTTGTTGCTGAACCCGACTCTTTTTACTTGGATAACACAACTTGCTCAATCGGTCCAAAATCTATGATTAAATAATTCAAAATGTTAATGATCGCTGACAAGGTACTCTTCATTACTGACAGTGATATTGGTACATTTCCAGTAAACATTGTAGAATGCTGAATATTTCAGAAGTATCAGAAAGTGAATAAAGTTGATTCCCATTATAAATCTAGCAATTCTACAGTGCTTTGCAAAAGTATTCACCCCCCTTGGACTTTTTCCCACATTTCATTGTTACAGCAAGGAACTTAATTTAGTAAAATGTCTGGATTTTTTTTTACTTTGACATTATAGTTTTTGTTGAAGAGTGGCAAAAATTCTCAGTTAAATACATCATGTTTCCATGCTGTAACAATAAAATATGAAAAAGTCCAAGAGGGGGTGAATACTTTTGCAAGGCACAATGTTTTTTCTTAAATAATAACCTGGTTACTATAAACTGTAATTAAAACGGAATGCCATTTAAAACTAATGCTGATTTTAATCAACATCAAGCATCACACAGGGATTGTTTTTGTACTTTGTGTAGATGAATTGTACAGTTATAAAAATATAGGCCACACAGTCTATTTTGCACATTTGGTATTTTAGCAGCTAATCGAATGTGTGAAAGCTGTAACGGCGCTTGAGATGGATTGTTTCAAAATCAAAAGTGTTTTCTGTGTTTTTCTTTCACACTACTACATGATACAGTTTTGACGCTGAGGGAAATATACTTGAGACGCTGACCTCTTTGACGATTTTGTAATTATTGGCTTTATTGCTGTCAATCTGTGGCGACTTCTTCCCATCCTCAACTGGATTTAGGATGTTGGCCTCCTGTAAACAATCACAAAAACCAAGGAGAGAACACGTCAGAGATTTCTAAACCCTTGAGGCGATCCAAAAGTTCTATCCTTCCCAATCCTGTTCAAAGAAAGGCAGCCGATACATGCTCTAAGGAATACAAAAAAATCAATGAATCACGATTTTTGCTAATGGTCACTGGTGTGAACATGAATTAAAGTAAAAACTAAGGCTCAGCAGTAAAGCTGTTTTAAATGGGTTTCTTTTCCCACTGAGTTTGGTTGCAAAGTGACCAGAAACACTGATGAATAACACTACAGTATATGCACTGTGGCATTTTAGCACATCTAGTAATAGTCTTATTTGAAAGGTAAGAACTGGTATTTGATCCGTGCATTCAACTCTACAGAATGGACCTGATCTGCCTTTCCAGGCCCACCTCGTGCATCTGGTCTTTATTCTGGTTTTCCCCCATGTCTTCACTCCCATACACTCCACTCTTCTCCACCCAGAGCTCCGACTTCTCCACAGTCAGTCTCAGCTGGTCCAGGTCTGCTTTGATCTGTTTGTAGTTCTCCACGTCTTGTTCGGACACCAGCAGCTGGACCTTAAATCAGAATTCAGATGCTGATTACTGGATGGGGGTCCTAAAAATTGACCAGCCGGTGCAATTTGTCTGTGCAACACCACCTCTACCCTCAGCTGGAGAGTACTGAACGGCTGTGAAGTGGGTTGGGACATCCCTGGTGACCTGTTTGCTAAGAAAGAGGACACAAACCACTGGGGAGTTATTAGTTTTTGCAAATCCTAACCTAAAGATAAACCGGAACATTCTGTGCCAGAAATGTGATTTATGCATCAATAAATCACCAACAAGACTCAACAAGCATGGGTGAAACCATAGTAAAATCCAGCATTTAAACAATTTACACTTTAAATCGGCGTCCGACTTTTCAAGACTTTGTTCCTGCTTTTTGAGAACATAAGGAAAGAAACCCAGCTGCCAGAATATCACGAAGAAACATTAAAAATTTAAGGAATTATAAAAGCCTGTTCACCACCTATTTGCGAGAACACTGGAAAAATGCATCAGTTTGTTTGACATCTTAAGGGAGACTTCAGCATATCAGCTTTCATCTGTCTTCACCACCTGTTCAATTACAGGTCTTAACCCCACAGTGAAAGCTCAGTCCTTTAATCATTCAATATGTATTGGGTATCTACAAAATCCATGAACTGAAAAATTAGAAAAGTTTTTTTTTTTTTGAGTGATTTCAATTATGTATTCATCTGCTTTTGTACAGTACATCTGGATATATAATTTTGAAAAATCAATAAAAAGATACTATAGATAAAGGATTAAACAAATTAAGTTTTGAGATTTTTAGTTTTTACAGTTCATTAGTAAAAGAAAAAATCTCACATTTAAAAACATGATGCTTCATTTATTTTTAATCATCATCAGTTTACTTTCCCTTCTGCATTGGAAACGCATTGGCAGTTACTGCACAATGCCAATGCCAGCTGGAAGTTTTTCATATTCAATTCCTCCTTGTGGCTCAAATAAAACCATGACGACACCAGAGAAATTTCCTAATGTGATAAAATAGGCATTACGCCTTCAATTACACTAAACCCCCCCCTTTTTCGTCCTTAATTGGCTATCATTTCTGTGGTTGTGCCTCCTGAGAAATGTTGGCAGATACGAATCTCAGCAGAGCAAACTGAAATGTATTTGAACATTTTAAACATTTGCATGACCTTAAGCATCTTACTTCAGTATTTCGAAAACATCCCATCTTTAAAGAAACAAGCGGGTTCCGAATTCAGATCAGGTTTTATTTCCTAGTTTATCCAAATAATAAGGAAACAAAAAAATAACTGGGAAAAAATAACTTCGAAAGGTGTTGATTATACAATGAAATGAACAACTAAGAAACCAGCACTGAGTCACACTTTAAAATTCAATATCACAATAGAAATATTATTAGAAATATGTTTGTCACTTTTTATACATTATGGTGGTATTACACATGTTCTGGCCCCGCGGCAGTCTGCTAACAGCAGGCATTTGAGTATATTATGTACAAGGTTTCTTACTCGCGTTAAATCTTTTTCGTATCTTAGCTGCACCAAGATTAACACCTGGGTGCATTTAATTCCAGCCATGATCGGTTAGCAGTCAAAACAATGAACATTACTGTAACTACAGGCTTTTCTGGGGAATAGCCTACAGCCACAAAAAGGGCTAAGAACTGCAAATTATACATCAATCATATTGCGACAGGAATGGTAATAGTATGAATATAGCCTAAGAGCTGCACTAAAAATACTGAACGCTGCTGCCTAGTAGCTCTGGGATGCTGAGGAACAGCCACTGAGGCTAAAGGGAGATAAGCTGCTGCCAAAATGATGGAACGCAGAGCAGGAGGTCCTGATGAGGCTGGCGAGATCTACCTGTTTAAAGGCCTGCAGGACCTCTGATCGCTGGCTGAAATGTTTGAAGAGCAGCTGGAGAGCGCCCGACACCAGAGGGGGGTAGTCGTGCATGATCAGGTGGATCAGCACCCGCAGAAACGTCTGTCCTCCCTCGTCATCCAGCTCCACCGCGCTCTTTTCCTTGCTGAAACAGCGGCGAGAGAGCACAGGATGAGCCATTTTTCTGCCCCCGGCTACTACACGCCTCCGGCTAACCTCTCTTTGCTCATTTGCTTCTGCACACATGCAATGGAACTTCTGGAAATGAAGTTGTGCACACAGTCTAAGGCTATGAACAGAACCAGGAATCATTGTGGAATCTTTAATCCATAATTAAAATGCTAGCAAGGGTGAGATAAACATAAAAGCCTGACCCTCCATTTAGACAATAAAATGATAACCAACGCTAATTACCAATTTATTAACATCAAGAGTGAACTTTCAAAATCTATTTCTTCCCATGAATTAAGTTCTCTAGAAGAGTGTTCCTCACGCTTTTAGATCCCTGCCACACTGCCCTCCTCCCCCTGAACACATCTCCAGTGTACCCTTCACTGTATAGTGATCCAGGCACATCATCATTAACATTAGAAATAAAATTCCATCATTGTTTAATCTATCTTTGCTTCAAAGTGCGGAGTCAGCTTATCCTGTTAACCTGTCTCGGATATTCCCTCTATTATAAACAATAGTTTTTCATTTTTTCTCATATGCGGCTTTTCCAAAATTCTGTGGCATGCCAGTTCATGGCTGAAAGCACACCAACTGACAGTGGCGGCTTATATGAAACAAAAGTTGTGCATTTGTAATCAAATTGTCATTTACAAGACTTCCTTTTCATCATACTATAAATAGTATGAGTTTCACTAACTCTCAACATCAAAGCGTGTGAAAATTCTCAGTTACAGACACATTTGGAGAATTCCAAGAAAAATGTATTTTTTTTTACAGGGTGCAGAAAAAATTACCTCTTAATTACTAGTCAACTAGTCATCAAGGAGAGAGCTCAAAAAGCGCTCAGTATTGTTGTGCTACTGCACATTCTGACAGGACTATTGTAGCTCAGATCTAAATCAATACCTTAGTGCATGTGTCAATCACAAATTACAAACCTGTCCTTTTCTTTGCCAATTGTTTTATTCTTCTCTCTCTGAACAAACTGAAACTCACCTTCAAGCACTAGGGATGCAACTTGTTGGATCAGTCTTTTGGCCTTATGGAAAATACTCTATAGTAGGTATACATTTATTTCTAAATCACTGGGCACTGGTTTTCTTAAGCACAACATTTATTGTATGCAGTATTTAACATGCTTCTAAGACTGTGAACTTTCAGAAACTCCCACTGAAATTTGTACATTGGAATCACGGATATGTTTCTGGAGACAAACATGTCCAAGGAAGCTTTGTTAAATACAGTATGCAAGTGCACTGCATTCCAAAGTTAAGAATGGTAACACATACATTACGGAATATAATCTGAATATTTGCACAGAATGATAAAATTACAGGAGAAAAACTGAAAAACAAAATGTTTGGTTAACCAACCTTCCAGCAAACATGGTTTCTGCTTGAGCTGCAATTTCATTTATATCAGGATCTGGAACTAAAGAGAAGACAATTATTTTCATGCACTGTGGTAACAGACTGACAAGAACTGTGGTTAGTGAACAGTCTGGGGACTCATGGATCTACTCAGAGCCCAAGGCATCCTCAGAAAAGCATTTCCGCCAAGATCACCATTTAAATGCAATGACCCCATTTATACTCATTAACCAATGATATGACTACATCACTATCCCCCATCAATGTTTCAAATTTACTTTTTTAATTTGAAAATCATAATTAAAAAGTGATGGCAGCGTGGCACAGTGGTTAGCATTGCTGCAACACAGTACTGGGATCCTGGGATCCATTACTAGGGCACTAACTGGATGGATATTCTCCCTGTGTTCGAGTGGGTTTCCTCCATGTGCCCTAGTTTCAACCCAGTCCAAAGACTTGCAGTTTTGTAAACTGGTTTCTGTGAAAAACTGTCCCTGGTGTAAATGTTGCTTGTGTTTGCGTGTGCCCCCTCCATTGTGTATCTTGGTTTGTGCCCGTTGCTTGCTGGAATCTGCTCTGGATTCCCGTGACCCTGAATTGGATAAAGATGTTCGAAAAGGGATGGATGGAACAATGAAACTGCAAATTTGACTCCACTAGAGCAAGATGTTGAGGTTCCCACCAAGAGAGTCTAAAATGCTTTGATGTAATTATTAAGGCAGAGGCTGAAACTGAGGTGCACAATTTCAGGAAAGCGGGATGTGAAGGAATGAAGAACTAAAGAAGCAGAATACGACAAGATAAATATCTAATCAGCAGAGAATAAAAAAGCACTGGCAAAATTATTTAATAAGTCAATTATGAAAAATATAAGGAGAAAGAAAGCACTGCATAAAATGATATAAAAAGATAATAAGACAGATAAAGAAATTAAGTAGAATAAATACCAAGCACATGTCAGAAAGGTCAAAAGAGACAGAAAAGAATATTGCAGTAGAGGCTAAAGTAAACAATGCTTTTTTCCAAATTAACAGTAGAGGATGATGTAAGGTTTGTCCGATATAAAAAGGAAAACGTTTAGAAGGTGAATTGGCCAATACAGTAAACAATCATTTCACTAAGGTGTTTATCAAGGCAGAAATCAACAACAAGCCTCAGGCCGAGCCCAGATTCCATTCTAAAAACCTCTACAGTAAATAATATCAGCACAGAAGAGATAGAAGTGTTGAAGTAATTAGATGTGCTTAAGATATATCACCAGAGTCTCAGAGAGTACCAACCCTACTTGAGGAAATTAGGTTTTCTAAAAAGTGCTCATGCATATAAAAATATTTTGTCTTATTCATAGGCCATTAAAACTCTTCCAGCTGTCACTCAGAGCATAGTTAATACCAACTGAATGCAAAACTGCTAATGTAGTACCCATCCATAAAAGGGGTGCGAAAAATGAACCAAGTAATTAAAGACTATTAAGCACATTACATGTAATGTTATGGAAACTTAAATTAGAATTCAAACAGAGGATCACCTATATGCACAGTTAAACCCTAGGGAATGCTCTTCCTGATTTATAATAATAGTTTCTGGTAGAGTTAACAAATTGATGCCAAATTGTGAGGAGTGGCAAACATGAATTTCGTGCAAATGAAAATGCCAAAAGATTTAAATAAAATTCAAGACTGGGGAAGCAACAGCAGATGACTGTTCATATAAAAACTAACTGTGGGGAAGCAAAAAAATGTTAAAAGTGCAAACTTAAGTCAATGGATATTACGCTTGAATTATACAGTGGACTGTCCACCGAATATTCTGGTGGGCCACCACATGTTTACAAGAAGGTTACAAGAAAGAATCGGCTGCTCTGGAGACAGTCCAGTGAAGAGCAACCAGATATGTTCCCAGACTTAGAGGAGCACCATGTTCAAGACCAGGCTGGATGGGATCCATGGAATCGATTACCTGCAAACTATAAAACGAGCTAGACAGGCCAAATGGTCTCTTCTTGTCTATAACCTTTCGTCTGTTCTCACATTCTAATTGAGAGTCATTATGATACATTTTTCAGGCATGAAATCTCACCAGTTTGGATAGGGACATCTGCAACTGAGAGAGAACTGTCTGGTATGTTACTGTCTCCGAACTCTTTCTTGTATATTGAGAGCAAGTAGGTGATCCTGTAGTCCAGGCGCACGCTGAGAATAAACTGTAAAAGGAACAAAATGTATTAAATGAGGATTAAACCAGTAAAAAGTATTGCATATAGGTGCTCTCGGCTTTACAGAACAAAATAGTCAATTTACACAAATTCAACATGACAAATCACCACCATAATTTCTACAAATTCTATTTAATCCAATAATGATTTTTCAGTACACTGCTTCTTGCATTATAAAAGTATACAGAAGAACAGGAGGGAAACTTATACCATCAAACCTGTAAATGTGTATATGGCTCAAACGTGAAATTGGTCCAAAAAAATAAATGGTCTTCAGAACTGAATTCTAACATGAGTCAGGTAAGAATATGTCTGCCACAGCATGTATAAAAAAAACAAACATATCTAGTTTCTAAGATCTGAGGTGTTGGGATAATAAATTAAAGCAGAGTCATTAGATAAACCTTCAGGGCAAGATGTTTAATTTAAACGCAATGAGGTATAAAGCACATAATTGTAGCCATTAGCAGACAAGTTTTTAATAAAGTGTACCTTATACTGTTACTGAGATATTCTGCATATAAAACAGGGTTGTTATTGCAAATTGCTGCCTCACTAAAAAAGATAGATATTAAACATAAGTGAACCTGGTAAGAAACATCCCCAGTGGCTCTTGGCTTATAGCGTTCCTGCACAACAGCAGTAGCTCTGAAATGCACTGGGGACATGTTCTAAAAAACCCTTACTTCATCTCGCTGTGCAGCAGGCTGGCACTTACCTGCAGGATCTCAATGATCTTCAGCTTGGTGTCCATGACCATGACGTCTTCGCTGTCGGCGGGGCTGAACGACCTGCCCTGGAGAGCTTGGGGCTGGGGGTCAGGCAGACTGATGGGCAGGAGGGCGCTCCGACTCAGCACCATCTGAGTCATCATCTCGCCCACGCCATGGATTGTCCGCATCACGTTGTTGCCTTCAAGAAAAGCACAGACAGCAAGGACATGAGGGAAAGCGTTCTAACGCTGCTCTAATCTGGGGTGTGGCGGCTGACAGATGGGCGATGGAAACCAACAGCTGGGCTCAGAGCGATCGGCAGCTGTGCAGGCTGACGCACGGTTCGTAGTCAAGTGGAAGATCCTGAAATCAGGGTAGATGAGGAAGCAAGGGTCTTACCCAGGAACACAAGACACAAGAAGCAGACAAGCTGAAGGGAACCCAAGACCTCGGTCAAGGGTCTGAGTGAAAGTTGGTACTCAAGTGGTCGAAGCAGGGAATTAAGCTTAGGTCAAGGGAACGGTAGAGACTCAAGAATAACCCAGATGAGCACTGAGCAGGGATGAGGCAAGGTTTAATCACTGGAGGGATCATGCTGCAAGTACCTATGAATTAATTAGAGGGATGGGGTGCTATCAATCATCCCTACATACAGATACCTCCAGTTGAGGTCTCAGCCCATGTGGAGACACAGTTAGTTGACGTAGTGGCATGGGAGTGCCAGCTGGAATTTGCTCAGGCATTTGAATTTGAAAGATGAAATCCAGAATTTATTTTTTCCAGTCAGCCCTAACTTCAATGGAATGTTTTCTTTTTAAAGCAAATTCAACCATAATAATATTATGATGATGATTATTATTATTATTATTATTATTATTATTATTAATAACTGCTTACACCTAGCTGCAGTAGGTTGCCAGTTGTGAGCTGCAGGGCAATACGACAGCTAGCTATGCTGGCATACTTTAACACCAATACAAACCACACCCCATTTAGATGAAAACAGGGATCTGACTGTGTAAATTATTTTCACTGCTTCTAATACATACACTAACTAGATTAAAACAAAGAAACATTACAGATGCTTTAACTGAAATGTGAACAGGGTTCAGAAAAAATTAAGTGAACTCCCAATAATTAAAATACCTATAATTATAGGAATTTAATTACTTACTATGATACCCTTGTTTGATCGAAACTGGTCTTTTCTTAATCTATCAAAACGGGTTAAGTAATTGAGTAACGAGTAAACAAGGACTGAGTCTGGGAAGCCATTTCCTACTGTATATAATGGTCAGACACTTGGAGTTTGTTCTTCATTATACAAGTAAGCGGAAACTCATCATGTCACATTAAAAAAAAAAAACTCAGAGGACCTCATAAAAAGAATAGTAGTGGAAACCCATCAGTCTGGAGAAGGTTAAAACAACAACACAACAACTGCAAATATTCAAGGCCAAGGTAACTGTACTTGCAGTCATCCTGCAAAGATCTCCCCAAGAATATCCCAGAAAACCATACAGGTATCACAGGGACAGCTCCCTCAAGACAGGGGAAGTACCCATGGATTAGATTAGGCTAGAAAATAGAACAACTAAGATCATAAAACAGGTTACAGCTGAGATTAATGTTCTAAGCTCTATGCCGTGCAGGGCTGGATTTTTGGTGTCCGTAGGCCCTAGGCACTATCACTCCGAAATGTGCAAAAACGTGCAAAAAGAGGGGTAAACGCCAACTGAATGACATCGATTGACATGATGCACTTTAAACTATTCTAATGCTAAGCCACCTGATTGATGGAGCAAGTCGATACTTCTAGTTTCTAGAACAGACACTAGATAGCGTGTGATCATTGATCTGGAGGAGCACCTAGAGTCGATGTTGTTTCAGCTCATTTTTCATTACGCACGAGTGTTTCCTTCCTTTGTAGGCCCTAAAAATTTAGTAGGCCCTAGACACTGTGCCTGCAGTGCCTCATGGGAAATCCGGCACTGGTGCTGTGGGAAGATCTCTATGATGTTTCGCACAGACTAGTTATTCTAAGTTGAAGAGTATACAGTACATGCTCAGTACACTGTAAGACTGGAAAACATCTCCATTTATAATCAATGTAATGTTTTTATAATCAATGTAACACTTCTATTGTTTTTAACAGGAAGGCAGCCACATCTTTCTTTTTGACCATGTTTGTTCTTCAGAATGCAAGAGTAACATCTAAGGGTCTGCAGGCCTTCCTCACTGCAGCGAATGGCAGTGCTATTGCTGCAGCCATCAGGAATAGGATGGGAAGACATTATAGAAGAAAGTATTCAGAGGATGTTTAAAGGGTTTATTAATTCTGTCTGCTGCATTCGTCACCTATTTGGTAGAATGGCGCACAGCAGGTAATGTCAACACACCTGCAGTTTTATTACAAGCCTTTTGGCTACTTGTGTGAAGTTCTCCAGAGGAGCAATTTTTAAGTATAAATACCTGCTTACAATAACTGAGGCCCTGTAACTGGCAGACTGCGGAGATCATTAACAAACATTGTGGACCTGTTTCACCTAATTCATTATCTTGTGCTACATTGAGTTTATTTTTTGCTTCACGGGCTGGTAATTTAAAGCATTCAGACAACTTGTTCATTATCCTGTTCTGTTGATGAAGAACTATTTAATACAGAACTGTTCTGTGCAACTTGAAATCCCATTTAAACTTTTTGAGTGCTCAAAACTGAACAAGTTCAGACAATAAAGCTCAGAAAACAGCAAATAGAGGAAGGATTAATCACAGCATTTGTTTAACCTGTGCTGTTAAGAACATTAATGAGACATCTGAAAATATTTTTTCACATACGATTTAACACACTCACTTTAATTACTGGACAAAACAGCCTGCATCATTTTCAGTGAAATGTACAGTAAATAATGAACAAAACTGATGGTTCAGTATTGCTTACCTCCCTCTGGGCCTTTACTTAGTTTCACCATATATGGCACAGGCTGCTGTATGATATCCAGAATTGCAAGTAATGTCCGAGTCAACTGCAAAAGCTTACTGAAACTATAGAATCCGAAGTAGACCAAGTACCGAGCCAAGTGCACCACCTGGAAGGGAAAAACAATATTCCTGTGAAGAGAAACTCTTCGTGCATGAAGTGGGAGAGCATTCACAACCTCAATCTGTGAAGACAAATGCATGTTTTAAAAGAAAAACTGTGAATACAGTATAGAATAACTTTGCCTGTGAACTGTTCCACATTTCCTGTCGACTCCCCCCCCCACAACAGTTTTTACAGTTGAAAACCAATTTAGATTACTGCCTTACTTACTGAATAAAATCCATCCATCTATTTTCTATCTGCTTTAGCCAGTGAAGGGTCGCAGGGGAGCTGGAGCCTGTCCCGGCAAACAACGGGTACAAGGCAGGCTACACCCTGAATGGGACACCAGTCCATCACAGGGCAGACGCAGACATGCACACACTCGCACCAGGGCCAATTCTCCCAGAAGCCTGCTAACGTAACAGTATATTTTTGGACTATGGGAGGAAACCCGAGCACTTGGTGAGAAACCCTTGCGAATATGGGGAGAACATACAAAGTCCACGCAGACAGCACCCCAGGAATTGAACCCGGAGAGAGATCTAGTGCTGTGAGGCTGCAATGCTTACCACTGCGCCCAACGAATCAAATAATAATTATGAATCTGGGTGTTAAAGACCTGTTGCTAAACTTGCAGCATCAAAACTCATTAAATGTGTAAGGCGAGCCAAGGACAAGTCAATCCCCGCTAGATATTGTGATAAATATCACGTCCCAGAACCTGTTAAGACAGCTGCCCTGTCTTTAGATATTCCACAGTCGAGGATGCACCCCAGAATGGGTTCCTGGGTTTTAGGGAAAACAAATGACTCTGATGGGTGTTCAAAATGGGCAGATCTAATCATAAATATAAATGCATCTGTTAAAAAAACAATTTTAAGATGCTTTATAACTTAAATCCACGCCTTCTGAACCACCTCGGTAAGCTCAGTGAACTGCTGCCAAGAACTCCATTCACATTAACTCACAAACTCACTCACTTAACCCCGAGTTTTATCAAAGTCTACACAATTACCTCAAACGTTAGCTCGTTTTTCTCCTTGTCTCCAAATGGAAAGGGCTGACTGACAACATCTTTCAGGTACTCTTCCACAAACAACATGGTTGGGGCAAAGTTTTCCTTCATGTCTGCTCGAGAGGCATCTGTGAATGACTCATATCTAGAGAACAAATCAATAGTACAGCAGTGTAAGTCTAATGCACAATGTTCAGTCAACAGGCAAACTGTGATTTATCAGTATCTCATTCCACTCTGAAGCAAGCACTCCGGTGCTTCAGCATACCAATTAAAAGGAGTAAGGATATCAGCTGCAAAGGTTCTTAATTTATCAAGAGGAGGCATTAAAGCATGTCAGGAGGATTGCACACGGCTGGAAAGAGCTCTTGCTTGCTTTGCATTCCAAACGTGGTTCATAATAAACATTTTACACTGTAGTAGTGACAAAAACTACAGAACAAGCACATCTCCAGTATCTCCAAAGCCTTGTGCAAAATTATGTCTAAAGAACATTTTTTTTTAGAGTTAACGGTTTGACATCTAATAAAACTACTTTTAATACAACGACACCAATGCTTTCTGCTAATGTGTATTTTAGCGGAACGTAACTACTGCAGGTAATTTCATATTATGGTACCAAGTCTGTCTGATTCGCTGGATACCCACAATTATTGTGCTGGGTCACTAATTTTAGGTGAAATAATGTAATTTACAACTTACATTGTAATCAGGGTGCATACTATTATGTCAGATGCTCACTTTAATTGTATGAATAACAATGGTATGTGTATGGCATTGCACTCAGGAAATTCTGTCTCGCTGACATGGCTCCACGTAATATAGTGTTATGTTTTTTTTCCCCACTCAGTAGAAAAAAAGATTCGCTTCGGAAAACCGGGATTCCCTGCGAAATCAGAGTTGACGGTCTTGACCTCGCTCCGTAATGACGTGGTTCCCTTGAACAGCAGGGAAGGCACTCACTCGTGGATGGTGATCTTGGTGGGGATCTCGGTCCAGAGCCGTGCATAGCGCACAGGAACCACAGACTCCTGGGGGTCCCGGTCGGCATGCATGTGGAGCATGAGGCGGCAGAAAGAGGCGCGCAGGTCGTAGGGCAGACAGTCGTCGCACATGCAGCGCAGGATCAGATCCACAGGCAGCTGGCTGGAGATCTGGTCGATGGCAAGGTACTGCCTGTCCAAACACATCTTTGCAAACAGGTTCAGCTGGTATCTGAAAAGCCGGGGATGGGAGTGAAATACTGTAGGTACAGCAAAAACAAACCCATCTGGGCACCCAATGCAAGACACTGACCGTGACCCTGTATATAACACACGGTCGCCAACTTCCGACATCCTACAACCCCCCAGCTCTTTTTCTGCTCTCCACCAGCTGAGGCAACCCTGATCAGCCTCTTCAAAAGGACAGAGACTGTCCTCTGAGCTGCTAATCACCCAACCGCCCACCCAGGGAAAATAACCCACATCTTGGTAATCAAAGCACCTTGAAGGAGCCAGCAATCCATCCGCAATAATTAACACAGATCGCTCACACAAGATCTTCTGTAAAGAAACAAAAAGGGCACATATACTGTACCTATAATACTGGATGTTATCTTTGTCTGTTTTACTGTTTTCCTTAGCATCCTGGGCCATATGCCTGATGGACTTCCCATGTGGCTCCTTATGACTGTCTATCCAGTACAGCCAAACCTCCTCATCATCGACATCATCCTGCATCACTGACTGCTCCAGGATATTATCCGTAGTAGGCATGAGCCTTAATGAAAGAAACAACAAGAACTACAATCAACAGCTCACAATCGCTGACAGTTTTAATACATTGTTCATGTTACACATTTCCTGAGGCAATCTAATGTCTCTAGTAATCAGGGTCTGTGAAAACAGAAGCCCAAGTGTAGTAATCTAATGACACTAGCTGAAAAAAAAATTGTATTCATAGGAAGTTGAGTGCATATAACTACACAAGGTGTTACACTAGAAAAGAGTAAAGGACTAGCTGTTTTATAAGCCCATCACCCTTATGAGCTCTAGAAAGAGAAAAAAATCAGTGTATAAAATGATCCATGCATGCATAAACAATGCACAATACATATTAGGTATGATTCACAGTTCTAAAAATCAAGGTTTCTGACAACTGGCCAAAAACAGAGCAGGTTCTGTAACCTTATAGATGTGGACTAGGCTAAAATAAACATTTCAAGTAAGGTCAAGTAAAACTACAGTAAGTTGTAAATTTGAAATTAAAAGGAATGTTGCAGTCAAGAGGTGGTGCTGCTGTGCATGATTAGTAGTGACTCAGATGTAATTTTTGTTTCTGTATATGTACTGTAAAATACCCAATAAATAAATAAAAATCATTTAAAAAGAATCTGGAAATTAAAAGTACAGTGGTACTGTAAATGCACCAGTGGACCACTTAGGCTTAGGTCAACTTTTGCATTCATTTTTAATGCTCTGTACTATCACCCTTTTCTGGATAATAGCTGAAATTCTACTACAAACTACTTCCGAAAAACTATCTAGCCCTGACAGATTCAAGGAGACTGGTGTTCTTGTAAAAAAGCCAAAGACTTAAGAGAATATGATATGGGGGTAAAAAAAGAAATGGATTTGCACAGGACTAAGTTACACCACAGTGAAAATTCCCAAACCACCTGTTAATGTGACGATCTTAGTCCTGTGCCAATCAGGCTTTAGTAAACGTTAAGACGGGTTGCTCCAAGTCAATTTTCATGCATATTGTAGTTTTGCTGCTATCCTTCACAAATAATATCCATCTTCAATTTTAAGCTTGTTTTGTAACTGGTTGAATGAGAGAAGTTGTGTTGATGGTAGCGAAGGTGACAGCTGATCATAGCACACTTTTTTATAGTACATGCAAAAGTTTTTAGTTAATACAGCTTAACTTGTACATTTAGGTCTTCATAAATTACATCCATCCATTTTCTAAGCAATTAATTCAATACAGGGTTGAAAGGGAGCCCCCACACACATGGGAACATACAAACTCCACACAGACAGCACCTAAGAAACTGAACCCAGGGCCCCAGCACTGCAAGACTGCAATGCTTATCACTGCACTACCATGCTGTCACCTTTGGTTAGTGTTTCACAAATAACTCAAAGAGACACAAGCGATATTTCTGGTATTTCATTTCACTTTTGGGGGAAACTGTTTCATGGATCACCTTTGCTTTTCTACATAGTATTTCATTGTCTGGGACAGGCAAATTGGCAGCACCAGTCCAAAGTCTGAAACAGTTGATAAGATGAGATAAAAATACATTTTTACCTGGCTTGTCACAGCAAGTGACAAAGGAAAGAGCTGTCACTGATCCAAACGCTATGTATACAGTAAGGGTAGAAGCACTGGGAGATTATGACCACATGATTGTGTTTGAGGTAGGTTTGAGAACTGGACAGTCAGAGCCCACAGGATTGGTTTGTAATCACAGAAAGGCAGATTTCGTTAGAATGAGACAAAGCAGGATAGAAACAGACTGGAGAAAATTTGACAGGAAATCAGTGGGAAACATACAGTATGGTTACATTCCAGAAATGTGGCAGCAGACAGATATGTACAATATACCTAGGTTTAGCAAATCTTGGTCTAGAAAATGTCGACTTAAGTTGTTTAACAAAAAACCTAAGAGGAACATGACACCCAAATGCGAGATGGATGGTATTCATCTGAAGAAGTTGCAAAACATGTGTAAACTAGGCATTTATGTAGACTCATCACATCAAAACATCAAAAAGTAATAGTGCTAATTGAAGAAACTCTGAATGCAGTTCACATGAGGAGACCTCCAGCTTTTTTATATACATTTGGTACAAACCCCTTAATTTGCCCATGTCGATATTGCTGTGAAGAATGGAACAGGTATGCTGGTTTCAGGCCTGCGATTCCATTAATGGAGGGACTAGTGTGTTCTAGGATTTGTTCCAACTTTATTTTGTTAGACATATGTAAGACTTTTCTTCAGGTCTTTTATAGTTGAATACTCACAGCATTCATTTAATTAAAGGTACATTTATATGTAGAACATCTCAGAGTCAGGTCAGAGGTATAGCAATTATAACTTTAATTAAACAGACCAATTATATAACAGAGTTTGGGCACGAGAAAAAACAGAAGACACCAGACTAGAGCCCTGGTGTATAGACACACGAGCAAGTGACTACGTATTAGTTTAAAAAAACGGTTTAAAGATGTATACTCACTTTGTCTGAATCAGGATGTCCGCATTTGATGAACTAAGCATAAATTTACAGATGAGCTCTTGGGTAACTGGGATAGCAGTTTTATTGGACACACAGAGGTCTGACAAGTAGTCCAAAAACCTATTATAAAGCAACAGAGAAAGAGAATTCTTTGATTCTGGCCACTGGTGAAATACAAAGAATGTTTATCAAAGCCTAGTGATAGCCCACATCTGACATCTGACATTTTCTCAGATCTAAGTATTATAATCCATCCATCCATTGCATAGCTGCTTCTGCCAATTTAGAGTTGTGGAAAAGAGGAGCCTATCTTGGCAAGCGATGGGCCCAAGGTAGAGTACATCCTGGATGGCATGCCAGACCAGGGTCTTTTGCCCATAAGCCTATTAACCTACCAGTATGCCTTTGGATTGTGAGAGGAAACCAGAGCACCCAGAGGAACCCCACACAAGCATGGAGAGAACATAGAAACTCCACACAGATAGCAGCCCAGGTCCAGACCTGAATCCAGGACCCCAGGGCTACAAGGCACCAATGCTGACCACTGTGCCACCGCGCCATTGGGAGTGATATCAAATAAAAAATCTGACTAGCACGAGCTTTCAAAATGAATATAATTCACCAATTATAGATTTGATTAGACTTCCCATCTTTATATTTCAGATGGACCAAAAAAATTCAGATCACAGCTGCTAACCTGGGCTCTCTGTTTCTGCGTAATAAATTGACAAAGGTCTCGATCTCATTGGCCGTGATGTGTTTCTCCAGGAGCTTCCTGTTGTTGTGAAGCAGGGCAGTAATGGTGTCCTCTGCCAAAATTTCATACCCAATCTGGGACTGCATAATGGAGAACTTCTTTGCGATATACTCCTGTCAAATTTAGAGGAAAACATTCATGTGTTTGTTTGGAGATACAGTATTTAACATTTGTTAAACTGAGACATTCACGACTTACACTTTCTTCAGGTGTGAAGACTCCGCAGCCGAAACGTTGTGTTTTTCTTCTCTTTTCAGCATGGAATAAACCTTATTTGTAATAAACCATGCATAGCCTACACATGCTGATGCAGTGTGAGAAAAAGTTTGCGAACCCTGTGGAACTATCCGGATTTCTGCATAAATGGCTTTTCAGCAGAATTGCATTGTGAAGAGCAGGTAACCAAAACTATGTGATTTTTTATACAGCAGGGCAGGTCTAACCCACTTAATTGACTCGAACCCCTGACTCATTGATTGGAATACTTGACTCCAATTACCCTCTTTTCAAGATGTCATTATCCTAGTGGTTCACATACTTTTTCCATCAATTACTTTGATTGTCTAAACCATTCCTTCAATAAAGATATGGCAATGTAAAATGTTGTGTGTGGTTTGTGAAATTATTTATTATTATGCCTTAGATGAAGATCAGATCACATTTTAGGAGCCATTCATGCAGAAATCCAGATAATTCCTAAGGGTTCACAAACGTTTTCTCACAACTGTGCATGTATGTAGAATAGATACTGGGATTTACAAAAATAGCTTTTTTCACCTTCCTACAGGGTCACACACCACATGAAAATGTATACATGCACAATGATAACATACAGAACTGGAAAGGACTTGTACTTACCTGGTTCTTTCGGTAGTCCTGCTGAGAATGCCGTAAGAGTCTGTAGCACAGACAAAGCATGTACTTAAATGGAGCATATCGCTGATCTCCTAACTCTTCCAATTTTAGCATCGGTCCTTCACCTTTATCTGTAAAAGGGGCCTTTAGAATGCCAAAAATCTGCAAAGTGAAATAATAACGTTTTATAAGGAATGGCTTATTATGTACAGCCGATTCCAGAATTTTGTTGGCATCATTAGAAATGTCCAGATCCCCGACCTCTGACAAAGCGACAGTAACCGTGGCAAATAAAATCAAAAGACAAGGTAATGATCCTAACAGGAACTGAGCAACATTTATCGTGCCGTCTAGCTCCATCTAGCTAGGACTTCGACCATCTAGAACATCTATCTATTCTCATGCAGGTTTTGACTTCACACCTTTCTTCACCCTTCTGCACTTTGCACTTCCTGAGCGGCCTCTCTGCCTCTCCTGCCTCCTACCCTCTCCCAGCTTTTGTTCTTCTGTGCTATTTAATCTTTGCTGTCTGCCCTGTCTTTCTCACACCTGAAGAAGGCTTCACGGAAGAAATGTTCTGTTTTTTTCTCTTCTCTTTTCACCATGGAACAAACCTATTGCTTGTTCCTGTGTAGAACATTCCTTTCTTTATGGATTCAAAGTTAGTTTCAATCACATGACTCCCACAAGCCTAAATAAGCATCTCCCATCTTCTGTGCCAGAAAATGGTGTAATTCGCCTTGCTTGTGAAACTGAACAGGACCTTGACTGACCTGTGCCAAAATATTTTGTTCCCTCGTGAGCTTCTGTCTCTCCCGGTTCGGCTTGGTAACGACCACGCTCAGCACTTCCTGCCCATTGTTGGGCACATCGGCCACAAAGAATATCAGATCTTCCAAAAGCTTGGTGACAAACCTAAATAAAAACAAAGAGTTAAGGTGATTTACGTTTTGCTAAAAGAAATATGAATAAAACTAAAGGAAACATATTACAGTACATGATGTCTGGCTTCTATGTAATGAATTTGTCCATATTTACTGGATGCATGGACACCCTTATCAGTCATGTCCAAACCCGATATGAGGCTCGTTCTGACATTGCTGGAGAATTTATTTGAGAATCCTTTATTCCTTTTTGGGCATTGAGCTTTAAATTAAAAGTTGGATCTTTTAAAAACTCTTGTAATGGTTTCTATTTTCTGTTTTCAGGTGTATTTGAATTTAAACGATTCAATTAAATATTCGTATGAAGAACTGAAATATTTTTCTTCCACTGAAATAGTCATTTCAGGCACTGTTTTACCTCCGCTCATTCTGCGTGATGGTTCCAAACTGCAGCTGCTTTACGGTCGATTCCAGGACTTTGTTGGCATCATTGGCAAAGTCCAGATCCCTGACCTCGGACAAGGGGACAGAAACGATGGCAAAAGCTTCCTTGTCTTCTTTTGCTGGACAGGTCCCAATCTGTGCATAAAACATGACCTGGTTACAATGATAACACACAGAGGGATGACGCTCAAAACTCACAGTTGTTCTGGTTCCACAATGAAAGCAGCTCCTCCGGTTCCCTGATTAGCACTGTTGTGTGTGCATGTTTTAGGAAAGATACTAAAAACTGGATTGTTAAAACAAATATTTGAATCAATGATCATTGAGTTGGGGTGGCCTGGGGGCACAGTGGATAGAATTGGTTTGAAGCGTGGTGTCAGTTCCTGGGGTGATATCTGTGGGGTGTCCACAGATGGATAATTGGCTTCTGAAAAAATTGACCCTGATGTGAGTGTCACTTGTCTGTGCTTGTGTGTGTCCCGCAATCTACTAGGGTCCTGTCCAGGGTGTACCCTGCCTTGCATCGGTTGTTTGCCAGGATAGCTCCTTCGCGTATTGGATAACAGATGGATGGGTGGATGGATGAATTGTTTAGTTCACAAATTAAGGAAGTATTAAAGCTGACCCAGAAGAAACCACATACGTTATTGTTAATATTACAGTAAACTGCAATTATAAATACAAAGAAAATAATGGTTTGCATGCACATTGTAGTTCCCTATTCAGCCTATATCCAACTGTTTTTTCAAGGGAAATTATGTGAGCGGAAGTGAGGATGTGGTAAAACATAGCTTTTAAATTTAATTCAGACAAGTCTTCGCTTACATTGAGAAAAACACAGCGAATTCTATTGATATCAACAATTGTTGAACGAGTAATATTGCTGGGCAAACCGAAAACTGCAGACAGCAAAGTTCACCTTCAGCATCACTGGCCTCTCTTCTTCCACATCTATGGGGATGTTGGTGCTGGTCACCCAAGTGTTTGTGCAAAGATGCCGCAGTCTTACGTAAGAGTTCCTGAAAGAGGAGAAGGAAGAAGTGTGCACAGGAGATAAGCTGGCGTCAGCTGTTAAATGGACAACATGGAACAGTGCAAAGGAAGTGAACTACACAGACCCTTTCAATTCAACCTTTTCTGCAATTTCCCTCACGGGATCAATAAAGTATCTATCCCATGCTAATGTGTTCCCGCAAATTGGTGCTACAAAAAGGGAAAGACAGGGAAAGAGGGTGTTTTCACTTGGAATTTCAGTTTACTTGACCACAATATTTTTCACACAGTAACTGCCAGTTACTTGAAGCCACCCGACTCCAATCGAAACGTCTCTGTGTGTACCTCGGAACGAGACAGTCGGCCCTTTGAAGAGTCGTGGCATCGAGTTCAAACAGAGAGGCGATGTCGTTGCCATGGGGCACGGAGACCAGGGTATAAGCAATTTTTTCGGCCGCCTGGCGCTTCTTCTTAGAGGACAGCGCGTCGCCGTCGCCCTGGAAAGGTAACGGGAGTGAGGCTGGCACTCGGCGGCAGCAGCCTGAGAAGAGAGAGCCTCAGCACGGGCGATCGCTCTGTCAGATCTCCCCGGGGGAGAGCGTCGGGTCTGCCTACGGCAAGCGGACCCGTGAGCAGGTCTGTGACGGGAGGCGGCGGTAGGCTCTCAGCCGCAGAGGACAACAGAGGCAGCCAGGGCAAGCAGCGAGAGCCTCCATTCAGTACTCAATCCAGGCCCCCGCTGTGTTTGAACGTCATCCCTTCCCTCAAGACGAACTGCGGACAACCTCAGTTTTACGAAAGATAGCCGCTGCAGATGCGGTTTGCAAAGTTTAGAGGGTGCCTGAAATTTAAATGCATTTGAAGTCATTTCAGATACTGTATGTCCCTATACATACTGTACAAAGAATGAAATGGGCATTCATAAAGCACGTTTAGAGATGGTCTCGGTTTATCATTTTCACCTACACCCAAAGTTACCAAAACTTTTTCCCCCACTACCACAGGCTGCCCCAGGCAGCTAACATGCATTTGAACTCCAGTCCAGCTCCTGCACAGATACTAGCTGGCAGCTGGAACCTTGAGAATCTGCCCAATTAGCCCTCGCAAGAGGCAGTGACGAGCAGCAGAGAGACACCATTAGAGATTACAAGGGAAGGACAAGAGCAGTGGTGAATGGCAGTTTCTCAGCTTCTGGCCTTGTGATTACAGCACCAAGCCCTCTCAGCTCCAGCACTGGCGTGCCTTGGCGCAAGAGCAGAGCCTGGTCTGTTACACTATTTTCCTACAGCCGTGCTATGATGAGGGGCTGTAGATAATCAGCTTGTGATCTGGAAGATATGTTGCCTTTGTTTCACATGCTAACACTTCCCAGAGGACAATCACGTTCGACAAAATTAAGGGAGAAATGATGTCACCGTAGAGCTGGATGCCCTAGTTCCGCAGAAATACAAAAGTTTTGTCAAAATGACTTCAGCTTTCCATAAAGTAAAAGAAAGATGCTTCTGAAAGAAAAAGACAGAGACTTTCCTGAGCATCACAAGCCTAGGTTTCTGATTGACTGCAGCAGGCAAATAACTGTCATCACTTAGTGGGAGCCGGAAACATGCGAGAATGGGTTAAACAATCATTGTGCAACTGCAGTAAGTCATGATCAGCAGCGCACACTCTCCTTTCTTGCTTTTTTTTTCTAACACCTTCCCTGCCACTTGTGAGTCATCCAAATCGCAGTGCAGACATCACGTCCCACTTCTGTTTGGAGATGTAGACGTTATGTAAGGAAGAGTGTCTGTGTTTTAAAAGTAGTTGCAGACCTGTGTGCTGCAGCGGAATTTTAATTTGTGGGCTTATTTATATATTTATCTCGGATTTTGCAGACAAAGCTTTCTCACGTCGCTGTGTGACTGCACTTACATAACCCTCATTATTATGTGTGAGGCTACCCTGTTAGCAAGGAAACAGTCTCTGTGAATGAAAACTCCAGATGAACTGCTGCAACAGTGAGACGGTTTTCCAGCTCCCACACTTCATTAGTGTAAAGGAGGGCAAGAACTGGAAACAGCAAATGTATAAATATGCCCGCCTGCACACACCTGCTGATTAAGCAACTGCTAAAATTAATGCAACGTAATTTTACTTGGAAATCTCAACGTTCACTCTTTTCAAGGTCTTGGCTTCCTTTAGATGCAAAGCTTCACTCAGACACAACAGACAGCGATAACAGTCCTGCAACATCTCCGCACAGCAATTCACTTCACTTTGATTGGCAAATTCCAGCTCACGATGTTACTAGAGTTTGATTATGTTATACAATATCATCCAATGCCCAAGTACAAAGCAAATGACTAATCTTGAACCCATTAAAAACAATACTTGGCGTGACTGTTAATGTAAATATATACAGTATGACATCCAAAATTATTATGGAACTAATCAAGAACAATTAGCATAATGAGATGTACAGTAAGTAAGGAGTCAATGTTCCTGCAATATATCACAATCATACTGTGGGATCTCAAAGAACAGATATTTTCCACAGAAATATCCCAATTTGTAAGACAACTGTTCTACAAAGATAAAAAGTCTGATTCAGACACCAAAGAGATACAGTACATAGTAACCATGCCATGCAACTGCACATATCATTTTAAATCTCAAGGATGGAAACAGATCTTGCACAGACATGTGACTCTCTTAATAATTTTTAACTCAACCTGTCGCCAACAGTAGCAGCAGGTTTGAGGTACAGTAGCAGCAGTGCCTTTCAGGACTGGAAATGCATAAAATGGCAATGAAAAGTTTGATACCTTTCTACTATGTGATGAAGACCAAGGTTTCCAGGTCCTCGAGAGACCCAATCTAGCAGGTTTTATACTGTAGGTAACCAGCAAGCTGTCATTTTCTACATTTCAGGGTGATTTATGAAATTACGTAATTTATGGAACATTTGGACCAAAAATCCGAGTACCAATCAGTCCTAAAAGTCCTGAACAAATGACTTAATATAGCAATTTATCTTTAGAAACAAATGGTGTTTATTTAATTCTATTATAATATATAAATCATTTAACAATAACATTAATATATTTCTATAAATATATAATGAATATTAACAGGTCTGGAGCTCTCTAGGACAAGGTTTGGAGACCCCTGAGGTCTCTGGTTCACAATGCTGCATTATGAATGTCCTCTTATGCACTATCCTCAAATCAATTTATCCTTTGTAGGTGTGGCTGTATTATACTTGTTTCTTAAAATCATGACCAATACTCGAATATTTTAACTCAGTTCTGTTTATTTGTAACCTTGTCTGTCCTGAATCTGTAAAAATGTGAATAGTAATAAAAACACCTGAATAAGCTCCATCCAGAGTTATCATAGCCAATTTGACATGATTAGGGTTGAGTTTGTTTTTTGCTCTTTCTAGCTCTGGATTGCAGCTGGTAATTATACAGTATTTTGGGATACCTACACCTCTTCCTTACTGTGTCTTACCAGCTAATGTTTCTTACTGTATTTGTCACAATAGGACTGAATGCTCCAGCCCTTACACAGAAAAGCACATTTGAGTTCATAAGGGGAAAAAAAGAACCATATTTTATCCAGTCAGTGTAGACCAACGCAAGTTAGAAACAGGAAGACATGGGAAAATTAAAAGGACAGTGCTGTAGACTGGACTCAAATTTCAAGTCACGCTTCCACAAATGCAACAAGCTACCCAGAGGAAATGTGCTAGACGTCTGAAAGAGTGCTTGGGGCAGCTTAAGGGAAACCCGGAGAAGAGTAAGTGGGAATACATACTTACCGCAGCTTTGGAATCTGCATTGTCATCACGATAATCAGGATTCACCTAGGTCATCAAGCAGAGAAGAGATGAAAACTCAGATGTCTTCTGAAACTCCAGATTTCTTGCTTTACGCTTCTAAGCCGAGCAATTTCCCTTTCTCTGAAACCATCTGCATTTCTGTACCACCTTTCCGAACCTGTAGTCTAAACAGTTCTTTGTGCCTTGGGGGGGTCACTGGGCGTGACTGTACACAATGCAGCCTTGCAGTACAGCAGCAGGCTTTCAGAACGGCCACAATCATCACTCTGTGGCATAAGACAAACCGACAGTACAACCAGCCTCCTAGAACAGTGCTTCCCAAAAAATTAAGTGGCACACCAAATGATCTTAAAATAATCAGCACTAACATTGCAAGAAAAACCATTTATCCACACATATTGCAACTGTTTTTTTTAGTGCAGGGGCTCAGGGGACGCCAGAGCTTAACCCAAGGCAGGAGACACCCTGGGCAGGACCACAGTACATGACAGGGCACACACGGATAGAAACATGCTCACTCACACTAAGGCCAATTTTTCTAAGCTGTCAATCAACCTACCAGTATGTTTTTGATGTTATGGGAAGAAACCAGAGAACCTGGAAGAACACGGGGAAAACATACACGTACGGGGTGCAGAAAGCACCTCTTGAATTGAACCCAGGACCCCAGCTTTCCATGGCAGCCACGCTAACGACTGTGCCACTATACTGCCCGAAATAATACTTATTTCAAACTAAAACCTGCCTTTAAATGAGAAATATCCCGGCTTCATTTTGACCATAATTTCAACCTGCAACATGAGCTTGTTTTTCAATGAA